CCGCATTCTGTATAACATCATGCCCTGTTTCAAGCCAGAGTTAAGGCACTTACTAATTATATGCATTAAAAAGTCAATCGTTTGTCATTTCTGTTCGCCCCCAGCAAAGGCAGGTTCAGAGATACATAAATTGTTTGACTTAAACTCAGTACTGTGTCGCAAGTGAAAGAGATGACAGTGGGTCACCTCCTTGATGATGGCAGCAATAAGTACCTCTGAAACGCTGATCAATGTTTACCAGATTACACGGCGCAACATCCCAGAAGACGGCCATTTTCGTAGTTGTCGCCGCGAGAACTTGAAATCGCAAGCCTTGGTTTCTGCCCCTCCATATTCTTGTGTCTGTGCGTCTGATTGTGAGTCACTGGAGCTGAAATTGATCCCCCTTTTTCGAAATTTCCTTCCAACGACGCTTCTATAAACACAGTAATACCACTTCCTCACAAGCGAAGTTTTGTAACTCTGGGCAAGTGCCAGGGTTTTGGACTCGACGTGAGCTGAGCCACAATATCTTCACCAGATAAACAGCATCGTTTAATGCCCTGTAATTTATGTTCTTTCTTCATCTTTTCTGTTTGCCTTATTAATTTTATATCCCATCCTTTCTTATTCTTCCTTCTTTGTGATGATCGTCTGTTAGTTGTAATGTCTGAGTTAAAGTTCGACAGGTGATTGGCGTTCTAGCAGAAAGTCTTCGCTAATTCACTGAGTTGATCCAGATGTGGCTGAGTGCTTGGGGGGGGGGGGGGGTTTACTTTCCTTGACCTATACTCGCAGAGGGTGGCAACCTGAGTAGAATTTCCAAATCTGTTATTCGCACGGTGACGAAGTAAAAGTAAAAGTAAAGTTTGTCCCACTATACGCCATGTAGGCGTTTGGGGTGAGTGGAGGTATAGCTCCTCTCTTCCTTGACCTCGGCACTAGATGGGGGTGAGTGGTCAGCATCACGCCCCGGCCGGCTTTACCCCCGGGAAAGGACCCCGGTACCCATTGTAGAGGAGGCTGGGTGGGCCCCAGAGCCGGTCTGGACGCAGACGCTAGAGGAAAAATCCTCTGCCCCACGGTGACGAAGTACTCTTTGCATATATTCACAAACCTGATCGTCCAAGCTTTTCTGTAAACTGTTCTGTTGAGAGAATATGAAAATTATTATTTATTGTCATCACCATGTTTTAAATTTCGTCATTTTTATATTATTACAGAAATTATGACAACTGTGGGCCTACATTGGAAATATTTTAAGACTGATGTCTGTATAACTGGATTTGTATATTCTGATGCTTTGTAGACTTGTATTTAGGTACCATCGGTTTTCGAGAAACATAATGTCTCAGGGAATCATCCCTGAAGATGAAACAGTACGAGTCTACACGGCGTTACAACCCAGAAGGATGACTTTGTTACCCTCGCCGCTGTGACAGCCTTATACCTCAGATTCTGAGTCTTATTAAGAATTGAACGTTCTGAAATGTTGGTTCTTTATTTTCCGCGATATGGTTACATAACGCATTTCTGTTTGCATGAGTCTGCTATTAGAATATCGGGTTAAAAGAATGCTGATGTAAAGTCACGAATATCAGTGGCTTTTAATAATAACAAGGATGTGGGAGGTAAGATTTCAACGTAGTTATTTTCCAAAGATTCCAAGAAACTTGGCAAGTCTTCAGATGTCTTGGTCGCCATTTCGGAATGCTTGGGGTTTCAAGTGTAGGCCGAAACGCGAGAGGACAGCGACCTCGAAGACTAAAACGTGTTAACAGACTAGAATGCTTCATGATACACCGGGCAGTGGCCACATTTTCCTCTTGATTGTGGTCGAAGATTTTAATTTTTAATTTTTTCAATATGGTACTGATTGTATTAGAATGATGATAATATAAGTAAAACTGTGTAATCTGTCGAGAGCTTAAGACATGCAGGTATTGAGTTAGTAGGATCGTATAGAAATGTATTACCCAGCGAATGTGACTTGTATAGATACAGGAAGTCGTCATTAAACAGTTTCTTTGGTTCTCCGTTGTGGCCTCAGCAGGCCTAGTCTCTTCAGTGGCCGCCCTTGGTCTCCTGTTCCACTGCCTCATTTACTCCGCGATTCTGCCTCTGTATTCTGCTAACGTGGCGTCTCCACTTGGTTCTTTATTTAAAATTTCCCAGTTATTGCTGATTCAATCTGAAATTTATTCGAGTCTTTGCAACAAATTTTGGGCCCGTCTGTTGGATTTAATCCCAGCAGCTGTTTTTCTCTCTCTGGATCTATGTTTGGCGTCTATCATCCGGACTTAATTACAGTTTAGGAGTGTTTATAGGCCTTACTAGGCAATGTACGTTATTAATCTTACGCGTATCTGAACTTGTGAGGAAACAGTAAATTGTTTTGTTGATCTGTGCACTGTAGAAACCTTAAATATTTTTGCGTGTTTGTTATCCGCTTGGCAATTGACACGAAATTAAGGAGCTATATGCATTGCGTATTATTATACCATTACGTTTAACATTTTACATTTGAACTTCGGTTTACCAGTGAAATGACGATAATATTAATAATTAACCGCGTCATGTAGAATCTGAAAATACGCAGATTTACGGAAATTCACGAAGTGGAAATTTCTTCGTGTGTATTGCGACAGACTTGGCAAACCCCATGAATAATTTATTTGACATGTGCGTCCTCCTGATACCCACGAGCTTCAAAAGAATGCGCGCATAGAAACACGTTGTAGTTTTTTTTTCTAAAATACAAAATCCTCCATAATCCATACTTTCATTAAGCTTGTAATTCATGTGGCTTCGTTGCAAACTGTAGGTCCTCTGCACTATTAATTCTGGTGTAATTACTAGACTCGCTAACAACGGCGATAGTAGTGATGATAGGAATTTCCCTTATAACCCATGGAATTTAAAATTGTGTTTTGTGGCCAGCGGCCTTCCAGGTCTATATGACATTGGATTTCGAAAGGCGATTGCCCGTCTTACATGGTTTCCTCTTGAGACCTGTGCCTCTGCTGTGTTCATGCCCCTCAGCTATTAGCTAAATGAAGATTATGAGTTACGCTTCGGCTGATTTCCAGTCGGCGGTGTTCCTGAGCTGAAGTTTCGCTCGGTTGAACGGAGTTAAGAACGAAATGAACTCGCTCATCGAGTTGGTAGCGGGCGGTCGCTCTGGTGGGCGGGCGAAGGATTTATATTAGTGGAGGGGGGGGAAGGGGTTTGTTTTAAATTAGAAATTCTTGTTTTCTTCTTGGAGGAGGTATTTTTATATGTTAAAGATTTACTGAACACTAAAAAGTGTGTAAAATATTTATGGATATTTTATAACGATTATTATAGGCTTGAAATGTTAGTATGTACAATGTCTGTTCTGAATTAAGCTGCATACGACGTTGAACGTTACGGTGTCATATAGGAAGTTATTTGCCACTTTGACTGGTGAGAGTCTCATCTAAATTATATTTAAAACTTAAATTCTTACCTCAGAGAAAACACAACTCGCATCCATTAGTAAGAACAGTTGGTTTTTTTTTTTTAAATAATCGCTGTTTCTTCTGAGACTCATGCGAAGCCCATGTATACACTGGGTAGAACGCAGAGTTACTGAACGTTGAAGTGGGTGGTACTTGCAAGATATCCACGTTGGCGAATTCACTGTAGAACTGACTGTACAAGAGGAAGTGCCATTTTAGTCTTCTGTAGAAGACCTGAATATCAGGAAATGCAGTTTTCGTCTGTCCTTAAAGAATCAGACGGAAATAATACTTCGATATTTTGTAATGTGCCAAATTTCCGGGCACGAGGTAAAGTGAGTGAATTTCGACTGTGTAAGCTCTGCTCGTGATTGGCCCAGTGCACTTAATTTGTGGGCCGAGACTTTTATTGTCCTGTGGAGGAGCGTGTAGTCCTAATAATCCCTCTTCTGCCACATGTCGTAGATACGCAAATTCTGTATATATTTTCATGTTTCACGATCGTATACAGCTGTTACTGTCCAAGACTTTTCTTTTTTTTTTCTCTCTCTCGGAAGTATACGAGGGTCTTCCTGGTCTATTTTAATGTACTCGTACTATCCAGGAGATGTGGTTCAATAAGGTAACGATGTAATGAATGATGCAGCCTGCGTTGAAGTGGAGGTGAGAGGAAAACACAAGATGGAATGCTCCCCTGAATATCTCTTGTTGTCATGACGACCGCATCCAGTGCATAAGAAACTGACGAGTACACATGTAGAAACCAGGACACTTCCTCTGTCTGTGGCATTAGCCCAGGTGAGGGCAGGAACGTACCGACTCTTATTTGTGGCTTGAGTACATGTGTTAAGGGAATACTCTGCTCTGTATTGTCGCCGAGACAGTTTGGTCTGTTTGTGGGGTGGCAACATATTGAACTCTGACCTAGGCAGAACGCAGTGTAGTTATGAATAACTGCGAAAGCGCTTTAAAAATGGTACGAATAGCGCGATTCATGTTTCACGGTCAAAATAGACGCTTTACCGCCTTCGTATCTTATCGAAAGTTATCAAGCAAGTTGGATCAGTGGTGACGCGTGTGAAGGTATTAGGGGTTTTTCTTGTGATTTAACGTTTTCGTGGATGTACTCAGTCTGTACGAATGCCAAAGTATTGAATGAAATTAGGTCACAAATGTTCCCTTCCATGTTTGCCTATGTTACCATTTCATTAGCATCAACACCAAAGTCGTTATCTCCTTCGGCATATTTCTTCGGCGCTGAACAAGTCTTAAGTTTGATACACACCATTAAATTCCGTAAGAATAAATAATTTGAAATAGGGGGGTACTAAAATCCCTGCATAAAAACCAACTTACGTGATTCCTTAAGCTGAAATTTAACTGGTCCATGTTGCATTATTGCTCAAACTGAGGGGGAGGAGGGGGTGTCTGAAAAACACAGGTGGAACTCTTGCCAAAATACACAGATATGACTGCTACTTCTCACAGGAGAAATGAGGCGTTTTTAGATCGTCGCGGTGGGATGTGGAGAGAGAGAGGGCGGTAGTTGGTTAGTTGGTGTCGTTGACGACTCTGAGGTCCACCTAGTCTGTGAGAATCTCGGCCGGAAGAAGGGATCTGTTTTGAAGTGTAGAATTATTCCCGATTTACCACCCTCCCGTCCTCGTCTTTGCCTTACCTGCATCCAGCCATGGCTGCCAGTGGAGAAACTGGTAACATTATTACCACATACGTAATCCTCATAGTTCTTCTCTTTGCCTTGTGGATACTGTATGCTGGACTATTATAAAACGTGCGTATGCACATCATGGACGGTAAGTCTTTGTAATCAGAGATAGAATATGTCATTGTGATGTTTCGTAGTGGATTCAGAATACGTTAAAACCGATGAAATTAGTGTTTTTATGCTATTTAGTTCTTCTGGGCGTTGACGCCGCATAGACTCATGGGTAGATACCAGCGTTTCGGATAAACTGTCTCCATCTTCAGGGAGTAAGATTCTCCGAAATGTTAATATCTAACTACTAGTCTACACAGCGCAATAACCCAGAAGACGGATATCTTCATACTCACCGCATGTATCTCTTATCTGAGGTTTGTAGTTTGTGCAATAACTTATTGTCACTGGCTTTGATAAAGAATTCAGTTGTAGAATCTTCTGGTTTCTGGGTTGTGGCATTTCAGACTGCATCTGTATCGGCATTGTTTGTTTTCGTCTGCCAGGATTTGAAGTTAGTCGGCATCCCCTAATAATGCCCATTGAAGATTCTTTAGTGCTTGCTGTTAATCGATCTTCTGCAGCTTCTTATCGATGAGTCGATTATTTTTTCTTGTCTCACAAAATCATAGACAACTGTACTGTCAAGTACGTGGGTTATAGAATGTTTCAATTTTTGAAAGAGGAATTATTTCAAGTTAGTTAGCTTTTAAAATTGTAAGTAGAAGTATGTAAAGAAGATATCCGTCTTCTGGGTTATTGCGCTGTGTAGTCTGGTCGATGTTTACCAACGTTTCAGAGGTCATACTGCCTCCGTCATCAGGGCGATGAGTATGAAGATTTCTGTCTTCTGGGTTGTTGCGCTGTGATGTACTTTAATTACTTTTTGAGATTATCGAATTAGAAGCGGTTGTTAACAAGTTAATTAATAACTTAATATAAGGATTTTAGAATGGTTTGGACTGTTACAGAATACTTTCCTTGTTCGTATTGTGGGTAGTAACGCCGTGTGAACTTGGAGGTTGATACCAGCGTTTCTCTGGGACTTACTGCCCCGATGTTAAGGGTATATTCTTACAACTCCACACGTAATCTCTTCACTACTGCGCCATGAGAACGTCAAGTCATGTTAGAAAATATTGCCGAATGCGTCATCGTGAAATATCCGATACGGAGTTGACACTTTTTTTTTTGTAGTTGATCTGAGATAAGTAAGTTATGGTTATGCAGATTGGATTCAACAGGCTAAATATTACGAACTTTCTTGTTAACGATGTTGAGTATTTGGGCTTAAGATGAAGGCTTTTATTTGTGTTGGTTGACTCACCTTTGATACCTCCTGTTCGGGAGGACTTTCAGAAGGGACAGGCACTTCTGTCCTGATTCGTATATTCGACGGTACCTGGGTTCAAATCTTTACCCGGAGACCGGCTGTCCTGACTTGTTTTCGTGTCTTTCTCGATTACTCTGGGCAAATGCCAGGTTGATACCTTAAATTAGGCCACACGTTCTCTTTCGTTATCCTACCATATAGTGTCGTTAAATAACCCCCCAAAAAAACTTTAATAACATACAATATTTTTTTCTGGTTCTGAGCGTTATGGGTGGTTTGTTTTAGAGTGTTTAAGTCATGGGCTAAATTTGACTTACACTCGGCACTCAGGAAATAGGTCACGTGGTAAGTATGCATTGTGTTCCCGTCTAAACCCGGGCCCCAGCGGTTATTTTTTAACGTGTGACGGTTGATGGATGAGTCAGAGAGCCTTCTGCACAGTTTTTGGCCTCTTATGCGACTCTGCTATGTAGCGGAAGACATAGATAATAATTATGACTTATTCGTCTATAGGATTTCTTTCACCATTCAAAGGGATAACTTCTGTAGAGATATAACCCACTCACAATGAATATTCATGAGTTTATACTGTACGGTCAGTACGAAGTTGATTTAAACAGTAAAATCGCCTATGGAATCTGTCTCAGAAACGTTACACATCGAATGCTTGAACAAAAAAAAATTTTCTCGTCTTGGACTACCTGTGGTTTTGACTGATTTTAATGAAATTGCTATAGACCATGAAGATGATCTTCTGAGATGTTGCACCGTGTAGTCTGGTAGAAACTTACCGATGTTTCAGAGATGCTTACTGATTGCTTTATCAGGGCGGTGAGCGCAGAACAAAATTGTACGAATCTGCGAACGTAATCGTAGAATCGCCTCAAGATAGTGAGATTTCAGGGAAATTGCCCTGGTGATGGAGGCACTTAGCACCTCTGAAACGTCGGCAAATTTCTACGAGACATCCCACAAGACAATAATGTTGATACTTGCCGCCTTAAGAATCTGAAATCCCGTCTATTTAATATTACTTATAATGTTGAGAATTTGTTAAATTTGCATGAAACAAAGGGAAGGTCCTCCGATTTTGTCGGGATGAGCCTTGGGTTTGCTTCCTTTATTGCGGAGAGAGAGATCCTCGACCTTTTGGCATCTGGAGCCACGTTAACCCTTGCTTATCGACTCCCAGGCCGCCCTGTTGAAATGCCAGTGTATTGAAGCTTCTTCAGGTTACATGAAACATAGGACATTTGTTCGTTTGCAGAAGGAGGACTCTCGGGAGGTAGTTACTTTCATCGATCGATGGAAATGTCGAATCACATAAAAACATCTTTCTTAGGAGAATCTGGCAATTAAGATGGCGTTTATGTGGTTTTTTTGCAAGACAAAGAGGAATTGGGACGCCTTGTCATGAATGAGTTGGCATTGGACACTATAATGTCGGAAATAGTGCTTCGAAGATGAGACGCATGTCAGATATCTATAAACAGGAATCTAGATGCCAGGCACGAAAATAGTTAAACAAATAAACTCGTGGATTGCTTTGTTCTGTCTGACAGGCGCTTATTATTATTAATGCTAGAAAGGCATACGTGCAAAACAGATTTCTTATTTCAATTCTTTTAAGCGCCACATTTTTGCTGCAGAGTGGTAAGAAATTATGTTGACTCGGCTGCAAGTGGTATGTCAGGGCAGAGGGTGCCTTATACTTCCCCTTTTATTAAATAATTGTAGTGGTGATAATGGTAATGATAACATTAATACATAAACACGTGAACGAATAAACAGGGAAATGAAATAGATTGTCAAACAGTTCGCCAGTTTTTCACATTTTGAAAATACGCAACAGTTAAGAATTTCTTCATATTAATTGTTAATCATCTTTAAGTTTTAAATTAAACTGGGGCGGGGGTCAGAAGTTCTAAATATAAATGATTCTGCTTTTTACATTATTTCCTTTATGATAGTGTTAACTTACCCAGAGACATTATGGGAAATCTCGGTGTAGCTAGCTCGACTCGGAATTTGCGAAAGGGACATCCCGGATTAGAAGCCTGCAAAGTGATCCATAGCTGCGTTATCACATGCATATACGCTGACGGTAGAGGCAAGGCCAACGTAAGGTTGGCGATCCATAGCTGCGTTATCACATGCATGCACGCTGAAGGTAGAGGCAAGGCCAACGTAAGGTTGGTTCCCTGGCACTCGTGAATTCTTGCGAAACGCACGCACGTGTAAAACAAGCAGAGATGAACAGCTAGGGGTAATCATCATTATGTCTGACGTCACACGTTTCGTTTTGTGGTATTTTGTGTTGTCACGTCGCGTTGTCTGGTAGGTGATTACCAGTGATTCAGTCAACCCGAGCTTTCACCAAACCACAGTCAAAGAACTGCATTTCCCAGTCCTCAAAATGGATCCGTTCGACTTAAAACAGTGATCGTTGCTTCTAGTCCCGGGTTAAAATCTCTGACTAGGAGTTGACTATCCTGGCTGATTTTACTCGTGATTTTCTTCAGTTCCTTCAGGCAAATACTGGGATCGAATCTTGAATTAGAACACGGCTATTACATCCAATTCAGTATTCTATCATTTGACTGTCTCTGGTCTGAGCTACTGACAACGTATTTCAATAAACCATAAATAATATACTAGTAGAACGTCCTCTTCCGTAGAATTTGCTAAGGACTTTCATAATGTCTGTGAAGCGAGTCACTAAAGATGTAAGGAGACAGGCTACTTATTAATCAAAGAATTCTAATTGTGCAGATTATGAAATAGATACGGTTTAAGAAATATTATCGCAACCAATTTATTAATTTAGAGGACGTGAACCATATTCACCTGCGTGAGATCTGAAGTTGCTTTTATATTCCTCCTTCCTCTTTGGATCTACGTGCCGTGTAGATTAAGTAGGTTAATATATTTATCCTGCGTTTGAAGACCACTTTAAAGCTCTGTTTGTTATTTTAACGTCAATGTGAAGGCATAATGGTGTTTCTTGTACTGCCCAGTAAGTTATTTCGGTACATGAATAGTATGCCAACAGTCATAATCTCGTCATAAGATGTCGAGTCTGGCTTGTGGTGATGTTCAAGGAGAGTTAGCGCTTTGAAGTAGGGATGTCGGGACAGAGTAAGACGTGAATTGTATGTGCTGAAGTCTGACGCAACAAAAATAACTTCCATCTACGTCAAGTCTCCGAAAGTTAGTAATGCCACACGCGACGCGGCGTCATAGATGTTTTCTCTACAAATGCGGTTCAAACATTTCGTCTCAACAAAAATGCTACTTTATTCTGTTTTTGTGTGTCCAGTAAGTTGTAGTATTTGCCCATTTGAAGAATCAGTTTGTGGCTCGGCAGGAACAAGCAGACGCCTGTGCCATATGTTACCACACATAGCAGCTGTAAGGTACGTGTGTTAATATACACGCTGTTTGATCTGATATATTTGCATTTTCGTTCAGGTTTCTACATTCTAAAAACGCTGCATATTCTTAGTAGAATTGACGTCGAAGGATTTTATTAGAAAACGTTTCAAAGTCTTATCGTCACTAAAGGGATGATACTACAAGGTCACTGGTTTGAATACTGACTAGTACATAGCTGTTTGTATAAGTTTTCTTTGCCGTCATATTAATGGCACGGTGACAAGCGAGTGAACCGAAACACAGGAAAAACTTCTTCAAGGTCATTTATCTTCCAGAATAAAGTGCACGTTTGAACAAGATATGCTGGCGTGCTGAAATAGGACCCTTAT